TCCATCACTTCTCCCTGCACAGGAGGGTTGGAATACTGTGGTCGACGCCCATAGGGTCTCCGCATGTAGTAAGGTGGGAACCATCGCCTGCGGTAGGGCCGGCGCTGTTGGGCCTGACCTTCGGGAGCACTTTCCGATCCCTCGTTCTTTTCCCCACTCTCACTATTCTGGTAATTCTGCTGGTAATTGCGTGGAGGACCCCTGCGACGTGGATAGCGTCTATAATGGTTACGGTCTGCTGCATATTTACTGCCTTGCACTGGAACTCCACCAGGGCCTGTCACATTTGCTGCCTCCGCACCCTTTTCTCCTTCAACAACATCAAACTCCACAGTCTCTCCATCTCCTACACTGCGAAGGTACTTCCTGGGGTTATTCTTCTTTATGGCAGTCTGGTGTACAAATCCATCTTCCTTGGTGTCATTCCTGTTGATGAAACCATATCCGTTTCTTACATTGAACCATTTCACTGTTCCCAAAACCTTCTTGCGATGACCTTCTTGTCCCCGCCGGCAGGTGCCGCCGATGTGAGGCCGCCCGGGCCGCCGCTCCCTGCGCCGCTGCCCGTGGTGCCGGGCTTGGTGTCGGCAGCGCTGAGGGCGGGGGCGGCGGGCGGCTGCTGGGTCTCGGCCTCGCTGCTCATGGTTGCGGTGATGGTGACTGGGGCCGGCTGCGGCAGCTGCGGCTCCTCCCGGGGTGTGATGGTAACTAGGCCGGCGGCGGCGGTGGGGCTGCTCAGGGCTCTCTGGGGTCCGCTCTCCGCTCCCGCTACCGATCGAACTAGCGAGAATGGCGGGACGGGCGGGATCAGTCTCTATTTTCTGTAACAGATTGTAAACAATTGGTATAATTTCCTCCTTACCTGTTTGGTGAATTCACCGGAGAACCTATCTAAGCCTAGTGCTTTCTGTTTTGGAAGGTTATTAATTATCGATTTAACTTCTTTAATAGATAAAGGTCTTATTCAGATGGTATTTTTCTTCCAGTGTGAGTTTTAATACACTGTATGTTTTCAAGGACCTGGTCTAGATTTTATCTAGATTATCAATTTATGACCATAGAGTTGTTTGTAATATTACTTTATTATCCTTTCAATGTTCACATGGTCAGTAGCAATGGCTCCATTTTTTCATTTCTGATATTAGTAATTTGTGTCTACTCTCCCTTTTCCTTAGTTACCACAACTAGAAGTAAACAGCTTTTGAATTTATTGATTTTCCCTGTTTCGTTTTCAATTTCATTACTATTTATTTTTCTTCTGTTTATTTTAGATTTAATGTGCTCTTCTTTTTCTAGTTTCCTAAGAAACGAAATTAGTAGATCATTGATTTTAGATCTTTCCTCTTCTCAAATTTATTCATACATTCCTATAAATTTCCCTCTAAGCATCACTTTTGCAACATTGCACAAATTTGGTAAGTTTTATTTCATTTTCATTGAGTCCAAAATATTTTTAAATTTCTCTTAAAAACTCTTTGACCATGTGTTAATTAGAAGTGAGTTGTTTAGGGCGCCTGGGTGGCTCAATTGGTTAAGCGACTGCCTTCGGATCAGGTCATGATCCTGGAATCCCGGGATCGAGTCCGCATCGGGCTCCCTGCTCGGCAGGGAGTCTGGTTCTCCCTCTGACCCTCCTCCCTCTCATGCTCTCTGTATCTCATTCTCTCTGTCTCAAATAAATAAATAAAATCTTTAAAAAAAAAAAAGAAGTGAGTTGTTTAATTTCCAGATATTTAGAAATTTCTGGCTATCTTTGTTATTGATTTCTAGCTTAATTCCACTGTGGTCTGAGCACATAACACTTGTTAAAATATGTTTTATATCCCAGAGTTAGTTTATCTTGATGAATGGTCCATGTGAGCTTGAGAAGAATTTGTATTCTGCTGTTTTTGGACATAATAGTTAATAGATGTCCCTTATATCCAGTTTATTGATGTTGTTCAACTATATCCTTATTGATTTTCTGTCTACTAGATACCTCCATTACTGATAGAGGGGTGCCTAAGTCTCCAAATATAAAAGTTGATTTATGTATTTCTCCTTGCAGTCCTACCAATTTTGCCTCACATATTTTGATGCTTTCTTGTTAGGCATGTAAACATTAGGTATTAAGTCTCTTTGAGAATTAGTTTCATTATCATTACATAATGCCCTTCTTTTTTCTGATAGTTTTCCTTGCTGAAGTTGGCTTTGTCTGAAATGGATATAGCTACTCCAGCTTTTTCTTCAGTGTTATCATAGTATATCATCCTCTCTCCCTTTATTTTAAATCTGTGTCTTTGATTTAAAGAGTGTTCTTATAGACAACATATAGCTGGTCTTTTTCAACCCTATATGATGTCTGATAATATCTGTCTTTTGATTGGTAGACTATTCACATTTACAGTGATTATTGATATAGTTGAATTTATTTTACCATATTTGTTGCTGTTTTCTATTATTTGCCCTTCTTTGCTTGTTTCTGTTTTGCTTTTTTTTTTTTTTTTGGTTTCCTACTCTTTTTCTACCTTCTCTGGTTTTAGTGGAGCATTTTATATGCTGCTATTTTATCTCTTCTCTTAGCATATCATTTATACTTCTTTAAAAAATTATTTTTAGTGATTGCATTAGAGTTTGCAGTATACATTTATAACTAATCTAACTCCACTTTCAGATAACACTATACCATTTTATTGCTAGTACAAGTACCTTATAACAGGGTATTTTTAGTTTCTCCCTTCTATCTGTTAAAATATTGCCACCATTCATTTCACTTATCCAATAAGCTATAATTACTGAATATATTGCTGTTGTTACAACTTTGAACAAATTTTTATCTGTTAGATCAATAGGAGTAAAAAAAGTAAAGATTTTATTTTATATTCATTTATTCCTTTTCTAATGCTCTTCTTTTCTTTATACAGATCTGAGTTTCTGACATACATCATTTCTTTCTCTCTGAAGAATTTTTTTTAACATTTCTTGCAAAGTAGGTCTATTAGTGACAAATCCTTCAATTTTTGTTTGAGAAAGTCTTAATTTCTCTTACATTTTTGAAGAATAATTTCACCAGATACAGAATTCTGGCCTTGACAATGGTTATTTTCTTCAACACTAAATATTTCATTTCACTTTTGCTTGCATGATCTCTTAAGAGAAGTCTAACACGACTCTTATCCTTTCTTTCCTATAGGTACAGTGTTGTTCCCCCTACACCTGACTTCCTTAAAGATTTTCTGAAGTTTAATCATGATATGCCTAAGTGTATTTTTTTTTTTTTTTTTGGTATTTATCCTACTTGATGTTCTGTGAGCATCTTGGGTCTGCATTTTGATGTTTGCCATTAATATAAAAAAAATTCTCAGCCATTGTTCTTCAAATATTTCTTCTGTTCCTTTCTGTCTTTCTTCCCCTTCTGGTATTCCCATTTGACATTCATTTTGCCCTTTGTAACTGTCTAACAATTCTTGAATATTCTGTTACATCTATTTAAAATTTAACTTCATTGAGGAATAATTGACAAATATACATATATATATATATATATATACACATATACATATTGTATGTGATGACTTGATATACAAACACAATGTAGAACAATTGCCAAGATCAAGATAGTTAACATATCCATCACTTTTCTTAGTCAACATTAGCTAACTTGTGTGTGTGAATAATTACAATCTGCTCTTAGCAACATTCAATAACAATACCATATTGTAAACTATAGCCTCCATGCTATATGCTAGATGTTCAGAACTTATTCTTCTTCTAACTGAAAATTTGTACTCTTTGAACTACATCTCCCCATTCCCTCCCATCCCCCCGGATGGGCAACCACCACCTTATTTTATTCTATTCTCTGAAAATTGGATTTTTAATTCCACAAAGAAGTGATAGCATATAGTATTTGTGTTTCTCTTTCTGTCTTACTTATCATAATGCCATCCAGATTAATCCATGTTGTTACTAATGGCAAATTTTCTTCTTTTTCATGGCAGTCTATTTAATTTTTGTTTCTGTTTGCATTTCAGTTTTGGAAGTTTCTATTGACCTCTCTTCAAATTCACTGATTCTTTTCTCAGTTGTTGTTGTTTGTTGCTGTGTCCATCAAAGGCATTTTTCATTTCCATTAATGTGTTGATTCTTTCTTAGAGTTTCAGTCTCTGCTTGCATTGCCCATTGTTCTTATATGTTGTCTACATTTTTATTAGATGCCTTAGCATATTAAACATATTAATCATAGTTATTTTTCTGGGGTGCCTGAGTGGCTCAGTAGGTTGTGCATCTGACTCTTCATTTTAGCTCAGGTCATGATCTCAGACTTGTGGGATCAAGCCCTACATTGTGCTCCACACTGGGCATGGAGCCTGCTTAAGATTCTCTCTCTCCCTCTGCCTCTCCCCTTCCTTTCCCCCTCTAAAAAATAAAAAATAAAATAAAATAAGATATTGGTCTGGTAATTCCTAGATCTCCACCATATGTGAATCTAGTTTTGAGGCTTGCTCTGTTTCTTTAAATGGCATTTTGTTTTTAGTATCTCTTATAATTTTTGTTGAAAGCTGGACATGGTATCCTGGGTAAAAGGAGTCTATTACTGGCTCTAATGGTGGACTTCTGTTTCTGTACGTTGCTCTAGCAAGCTGCAATTCCCTGTATTCACCAGTCTCTTGATTTTGAAGGCAGACATTTGCCCAGTGACCCCACTTCTCTAGTGAATATAAGACTTGTTGATTTTCATCTTATTTAGCTCTTTTTTTGTTTTGAGGATTGTAGTGACTTCCAACCTCATTATGTATTGGACCAGAAAAAATCTGGTTCTGTTTTGATTGATTTATTTTTATGTTCATTATGCATCATATTATTTTGCTTTTCATTGCTTGTTACTTTTTTAATATATGGCAGACATTGTGAATTTTTAATTATTGGCTTCCAGATAATTTTGTATTAAAAATATTATTAGACATTCATAATAACTTGGAAACAGCTTGACCTTTTTGCTGTTTTCTTTTAAGCTTTTTCAGATGAAATCAGAGAAGATATTAGTCTAAGGCTAATTTTATCCCCTCAACAAGTCACAATTTTAAAGTATACTACCTAGTGCTCTGTGTATTATGTGGTTTTTAAACTTTTGACTGCGATCCAGTGTAAACTCTTTTGTGAAAGCCTACTCCTTTCAGATGCTTCTTATCCCATCCTAATATAGCTTCTTTACAAACATACACTAACAATCACTATCTGAACACTTGGGGTTGATCCAGTGCAGATCTCTGGTGATCTTTCTACAGTTCTCTCCTCTCTGTGACTATGCCTTGCAATCTCTAGCTGCCTTGGCCAACCTTAATTCCCACTTTTACATCTTCAACTCAGGGAGGGTGCTGAGATCTGCTTCAGTCCTCCTTCCTTGTGCTGATTCCTGGAAACTCTCAAGGCAGTAAGCTCACCTCATTTCTTCCCTTCTCTTAGGAATTATTAATCCTGATAATTTCCATAATGTTCCTCTTTAGGGAACTTGACACTTTGCTTCGCCCTCTCAATCTGTCATCTTTTTAATGATTTTTCTTGTCCTATAGTACTAACTGGATTTTTCTCCAGTATAATGTTGAAAAGCAATGGTGATAGTAGGCATCTTTTTATTAACCAGTTTTTAAAGAGAAGGTTTCTAATGCTTCACTGTTAAATGTAATGTGTGTTGCAAATTTTTCATATTGATCATTACTAATTTAAGTAATTTCTTTTCCATTCTGTACTTGCTAAGAAATCTT